TTAAATTTAAATCGTTGGAGCTGACTGAATGAAACCACACAAGCAACTGATGCAGCTTCTGTCAGATTTCCAACGATACGCAGGCTATGCATGTTAGTAAAGTCAGTTAATTTTCCTTTGTTTTTTCTTCAACAGGGTATGGTTCCCTCTCTCTGCACTTCATTATTGCAAATCTTTCAAAACATCAACATGTTCCATGAAAGAAATTGTTTTTGTATTAATGTTTTTTTTGTCTTCTGGCTCAATATATTCATGTGATGTTGTGTCAGACCTGGGCCTGGGCTTTAGGTTACAGGACTTGAGTCAAACTGGGCTTAAAATTTCAGGCCCGATAACGACTCTAATTACTTCTGGTGTTCCCCAAGGCCGATTCATTTCCTGACTGAACGCCACATTACTTGGCTCTTTCACATCCCCACATGGTCTCTCCTAACATTCTATACAAATCATATTCAACTGCCTTTTTCTCTCCCGTTTCTGACAACCGGATGGAAACACGCATCTCTGCATGTCTGTCAGACTACGTGTCAATTGAACGGTTGTCTTTCCCTGCCTTTTTATCTATAACAAATGTATTTAATTAGAATGTTTCTAGTAATTCTGTGTGTAAGTAACTGTGGCTAAGAGCATTTGCTAAATTTAAATGCTAATTGCGCAGTACTTCATGCTTCAACGTGTAGTGTTGCCGTGTTATATAGCGACGTTTCAATGAAAAAACTGAAATGAATTGGCTTACCATTGGTGTCAGACCCAAAGCACTTAGTGGCGAACATGGAAATTATACAATCACAACACAATTACTCAGTCAGTCAAAGTGAAATTACTAATTCATTCAGGCTGGTTTCACATTGTACATGTTTTTTATCTAACTGCCAGGAAAGAATACTACAGTTCGGATGGCTGGCGGCCAAAGTCATTATTATTGGCAGAGTGGTGATTGATGAACAAATCTGTTTTGCCTTCCATTTACATTGATGTAAAAAATGGTCAGTCCCTGTGACCACAGAAATGCTGGCAAATCTAATATCCTGGAGTCAATTTGGCATTTTGAAATCATGATTTTGAATTCAATTTGAACAGGTAAAATTCCACAAAAACATTAGAGGGGGTTGGTGATGGTTGTATGATTGAATCACTAAGACAGGAAGATAAAAAAAATGCTGTTCTGTCCTTCAGCAAGATAATTTCCTTAATTGCCCCCATAAGAGTGTCTGCTAAAATGTAGTTCTCATTAAATAATTAATTTACTTATGGAATCAGGAATAACAAATAAAGAGTACCAGAAGTGCTTCCGATAAATGTTAATGCATTCAAAGTTATAGACCTAGGCCTACAGCTGTCTAATCAGAAAATAAATAATTCAGACTACTACGACATCACACGGCCTCGGGTTTAGCCACTAAGGATCAATACCGTTTTTAACATGCATCGTGCAGATTACGTGAATTGCGTGTAAATCAGGCCATTTGAAATTGTGTTACTTCCAGTGAATTCTGTGGGATATCTAATCAAACTATACATCCTTCATAGCATAATTTAAGCACAGAGCTTTTTTCCAGAGCTAAACATGAATATATTGCTCCCTTGTTTCCTTGCCTACATGCTGATCGGCTCCCTAATAAATCTTGGTTATTGTTTAATTCATTGGCAAGACTTAACGTCCTTTCCTTGGGGCAAGTCGTCTGGCCTCGTTGTTCCAACTCTTTGAGATGCAATTTACAAGGACGTTTAAATTAAAAGGAGGATGAACATGGAACTGACACGAGCTGAATAAGAAAAATTATCTGTGAGAGATTGAAAAAAGACCACTGCAATGTATCTTTTTAACTTTAATTGTTTAACTTTTATGTTAAGGAAGTTTTAATAGAAGCCTGGGTAAAGGGAAAAATCTCCTGACAAGTTGGATTTGAATTATTTTGTTATTCAAGCTTTTTTGTTCAAGTGATAAAATTCTTTCATTTACCAAACCAAGTCAAAGGAATTTTCAGTTCAGAAGTACAGACGTAGTTCACAAAACCCAGAGGAATTTCATGTGGATTTATTCATGCCATAGAGTTTGGACTAGATTAAAAATATGTGTTTGGATTGCTGGTGTGTATTGTTTTACAAAAGATCAAATTGTGACCCTGACAAAGTTTAACATTCAGAGCAATGTGTTAAAGCATTCCGATACTTAAATTGGAAAATAAATACATTTAAAAAAAAATTCAACTTGGCCTTGTCTCGTTTTTACAGATTAGATTAAATTAAACTTTATTGTCATCGAAACACTACATGTACAGTACAACGATAGGCAGTTTGCATTCAACCAGAACTGCAAAAGTCACTAAGCCAAAGTATGAGTCAAATGAGATTGAGTAAAGTGTAAGGATGTGCAATTGACATGGGTAAGTACATGTGCAGGTATTCAGTTCAACAATATTTTTGTAAAAAAATCTAAAATACAGGCAGCACTGTGCAAATGTGCATCCTCATCAGAGCAAAAAACATGCAAAATCCAGTTGTTATTGGATCAAAAGACCCAGAACCGAAACCCCGGAAGCCAGGACCTAATGACCCCACTGCACTGAATGCCCGGCGATGTCGTGCAATAACAGCGAAACGAGGTCAGTAGACTCCATTTACAGCCAGAAACCAGACTCAACTGGTCTGACTTCCAGTCTGGATAGAGTGAATCTGATTAGAGAGAAAAAGCTTTTTCATTTGAAAGGGGTTAGTCTCCACAGAAGACAATTATGATCCGCCCACACATTCATCAACCACCCCATCTGGAAAATAGAAACTACACTTCAACCCTTGTTGTGTCCACTCTTCTCACTCTATGTGTGTCTACCCGCCTTTATGGTCCGCAATCACCGCATGGTACCTGGACGCACCAGACACGACGACCTCATTAACGTTAGCCCGCTAACACACAGATACAACAACCTCATTAATGTTAGCGCGCTAACACACAGATACAACAACCTCATTAATGTTCGTGGGCTAACACACAGAAACCATTTGATCAACTGCGTTGACTTCTTTGTTAAACATGCTATTGCTTAAGATATCTTTCAGTGAAAAATCTCTTGGTTAAAGTTCTTTCTTGAGCCGCCACGCTACATCCAAATAACCAGTGATGGCAACTAGAATAAAACTAAACTAACAGAGTTTGTTATGTAACAACACCGACTGGCTTCTGGCAGGTTCTTCGGTTGACACGCAGATTCTGCCCTCTGAAGATGATACTTTTACAGAAAACAAAACATACACTTGTTTTGCGAGTCGCAAAGTGCTTTTGTATTACCTCACTCACACATAATTTTTTTTAACACAATGTCTAATGAAAACTCATCTGGAATCCAGTCAAGTTGGGTTGACCTTGACCTGAGCCTTTCAGTAAACACTTAATGCCAACGAAAATTGACCACTTCCACATAACAGAAGAAAAATATTCTGGACTGAAGCTGTCTGAAGAAGGTTTCCAATTCAATTTCTTGTCCAAAGTTAGACGGAAAGGAAAACGTTTTTTTACTTGAACATACCACAGGCCAGAAGTTTGTGATGTAATTTTTTCCCACCTCAGGTTTACAGTAACGACGGTAACTAATCTTGGATAAAAACTGTGGAGAGAGTTTTGGGAGAGTCTGAAACCACGGTGACCTAAAAAAGAACATGCTCGGTTGATCTTTCTTCATTAAGCGTTTCTTGTTAGGGTCAAGGATTGGTAAGAAAAAACGTTTTAGAATTTTTTTTTCACAGAGACGTCTGTCTGTAGATTGTGACATCAGAAGTGGTCAAGGGTTGGTTTCTGGGGAAGGAGAGTGACCCTGGCCAACACAGTGTAAACAGCTGGAGGTCAGGAAACAGTTTACGAGGGAAATTATGGGAAGAGAGAAGAGAATTAAGACACAGTAGAACCAGTGAACTCAACAGGCTGACTTTAAAATGGAACAGATCTCATCCACCTTTTTGTTGAAGTGGATGTCAAACGTCTACAGAGAGTGTGGAGGGTGATGGTAAAGATGGAGAATTAAGGAGAGGAGATAATATAAAACAATTTCCAACGGTTGGGCGTGACGCGTTTGAGTGACTCAAAGCGGCTTTCGAGAAATGTTCTCTCCTTATTTATCTCTCTTCCTCTGGTTTTCTTTCTCTTTCCTTGTTCCACAGTTCTCTCTCGTCTCTGTGGCCCTTTGTTCGTTCTCTCCGTCCGATCGGTGTCCCTTTCTTTGTTCGTGTAGCCGCGGGCAGGGCAGAAGCAATGCAGGCCTGTTCATTACAAATGACCAGACAGTGTCTGGTGTCGCTAATCTCATCAGGCTAGGTCCCCTTCGTGGCCACCCTGTCTCTCTGGAGCTCTGGAGACCTGCGGCTCTGTTACCCTGTTGTGGGAGGAGAGAAAACCAGAGGAACTACAGGGGACATTCATTTTAAGTCTTTACCATTTGAAGGATATAATAAAATCTGTGTACACCTCATCTGGGCTGCATTTGTGTGTGTGGTTGTCGGAAAAATGGACGGACTGTTTTTTATCAGATTTTTGAGTGGACCACAGGGAGGGTACCTTTGCCAGGGTTGATCTCAGTGGGTTGAGTTGGTTGTCTATTAATCGGAAGGTTGGTGGTTCGATCCCCGGTTCCTCCTGGGAAATTGTCGTGGTGACACCTAAGCCCAGCTGCTCCTCGAGCCTGCAGTCGCCTTGCATGGTAGACGCGGTCGTCAGTGGGTGAATGTGAGGCAGGATCGGTAAATCTGAAAATACCAAGTGATCATGCTTGTCAATTTTTTGTGTGTGTTACAACCATATGTTTCAATGACACACATGGAACATTCCAGTCTTCTTTGTAATTGTAGCCAAGTAAAATCTTTCTTATTAAAATGTTCTTATTTTTCCGCCACCCTTCTATGAAGCAATTGCACACATCAGTAATATTACATGGATATCAATGTTCCATCTATTTAGCATACCCACATATCTACAATATTTATCGCATGCACTTTTCATTGTTTTTGGATTCCCCCAGTGGGAATTGAACCCACAAACCTGGCTTTGCAAGCACCACACTCATACCAACTGAGCGACACAATAAATAGGGAGATATTTACAGATGGCTACATTCTGGGAAGCCGTCCTTTCTTTACGTTTTAAGAGGAGACGGCTTGTGCTACAGACTTGGATGTTGACAAGCTGAGTTGAAAAGGTCAATTGAAGAGAAGCGCTAAAGCTCTCGCTTGCATTCATCAGCACAATGATTTACACAAGCAGGGCTGATGTTTCGGTCATCCTAGCTTTCATTGCGATTCCGGACCTCCCCGCGTTACATACGGGCTGACATAACAGACGACCATAATAAGCGAGCTATTGAAGTGCAATCTGACCATCTCTGCACTGTGTGAGCTGTAATCACCAGACCCTTTGTATATATTCGGAGACATGGCTTGAGGCCACGCACATTTCAACGAGCGCTAATGGTGGCGTTCGGTGAGGAAGAACGGTGATGTAAGCCATTTCTTAACGTCACGTAGTCTCATTCTGTGCACTGGCCTTAACACACCATGTCAGCCTGTTCTTGAAAGGAATGTTACACAGAGGACGGATATTCTTGATTCTGTTTAGACGATGCAGCCGTGTGAGAATATAAACACATGCGACAGAACCAGCTACTGTCTGGGAAGTAGAGGCTCGTAGCGGACAAGAGAGCGACCCCAAAATATGTTTCTCAGGTTCAACCCTCTCTGTTATCCTGGTAACCATGACACCAACAGGAAGTGTTAAGCCTACATATTAGGCTGTGACATTTTACTTTGTTTTCTATTTGATACTCGTGACATTTTCATTTGTTCGCCCAGCGAATTACGCACTCCTCCTGGCTCCAATAGACACATAATGTTAATTGGAATTTAACACAACCCCACAAGGTGAGCTCATAAGTCTGGAGCTTAGCTAGCTGCTTTAGAAAGATGTGTGTTTGTAATTGGACAATATCATAGCGGGTGTTTATTTGTAATAAATGTTAATTTCTTTGTCTCTGGTTTTAAATGGCTGTTTAAGCTTTTATTAATTGCTGTTTGAGTGTGCTGAGTAACTTTGTAGCAATATCCGGTATTTCATTGCATAAGAAAATGTACCACTTGACATGCAAACGTTTCCAATCTGCTTGTGAATCATCAAATCAATATCACCTTCTCTTGGCTATTATGTTGGGACCTACATGCTAAAGTCGTTATCACAGAACTAGATACAGAAGAGACAAATATTGAATAATAAAAAAACAGTGACAACAAACGGTCAGATTTTCTCTTTTATGACAGTTAAAGGACACGATTCTCTCCTGGATACTTCTGTTCTACTTCTCTCTTGACCACAACTCGCATTGATTCCAGTCTGGCAGTAGTTAATAACTTCAGACACATACCAGCAAATACGCAGGTATATACTGTACATATACAAAGGAGAAAAAAAATACATCTTTAGAAATGTAATGTGTAGATGCCTTTTTATGTGGTTCACCACAGATTATACATGCACAGGCAAAACGCGGAAGAAAAACACTTTGCACTCCTTACTAATGTGTGACATCTTAGGCAATGGCAGTAGACTGGCAAATCTATGCAATTTGATTACAATGTCACGTCAGATACACGTTCTTTAATGGTATTACAGAAGCTTGTCAGTCGAGTACATAGAATGTGATCTTACATTTCTTTTATAATGAAATTACATTGATGTGATTATAGTGACCATAACTGCTGACCCCAGACCTGTGGTGTAGCATCACGCCGACTTCTGTTCAACGGCGCAATACACAGAACGTATTATACTTTGTCTAATAACAACTCAGCATTTTGGCAGCACTCCATAGCGGAACCCCCACGAATACTGCATCTAAACACATGCATAATACAAATAACAGAGTAAGCAATCAGGTATCATTGCTAGATTGTGCTGAGATACTTTACTCTGATGAGCCAAAACATTATGACCATTATGCCCAATAAGCTGTTTGGTCCTCCATGTGCCGCCAAAACAGAGCTGACCCACCAATGCATGAACTCTACAAGACCCCTGAAGGTGTCCTGTGGTATCTGGCGCCAAGGCGTTAGCAGCAGATCCCTGAAGGTGTCCTGTGGTATCTGGCACCAAGGCGTTAGCAGCAGACCCCTGAAGGTGTCCTGTGGTATCTGGCACCAAGGCGTTAGCAGCAGACCCCTGAAGGTGTCCTGTGGTATCTGGCACCAAGGCGTTAGCAGCAGATCCCTGAAGGTGTCCTGTGGTATCTGGCACCAAGGCGTTAGCAGCAGACCCCTGAAGGTGTCCTGTGGTATCTGGCACCAAGGCGTTAGCAGCAGATCCCTGAAGGTGTCCTGTGGTATCTGGCACCAAGGCGTTAGCAGCAGATCCCTGAAGGTGTCCTGTGGTATCTGGCACCAAGGCGTTAGCAGCAGATCCTTCATGCATTGACAATTGCCAGGTGGAACCACCGTAGACTATACTTCTTGGTCCAGCTGATCCCACAAATGCTCAATCGGATTGAAATCTGGGGGATTTGGAGTCCAGAGCGACACTTTGAACTCTTCCATCGTGTTCCTTACAGCTTTCCCAACAATATGTGCCGGATGTCAAGATGGCCACTGACATCAGGGAATACCATCGCCATGGAGAGATGTACCTGGTCTGCAACTGATGTTTATATAGAAGGCACATGTCAAATTGATGTTCACATGAAAGCAGAACGTCACCCAGAGCGTCACACTCCCTCCACTGTCATCTTCCCACTGTGCATTCTGGTACCATCACTTCCCCAGTTAAACAGTGCACACGTACACCGCCCAGTTATCTGGCCATACGTTACCTGGCCATAAGTCACCTGGGCCAATAGTCACCTGGCCATACGTCAGTCATCCGTCCATTGTCAAAGTCTCTCAGGTCTTTACTCCTGCCCATATCTCCTGCATATAATACTTTGACAACAATAACAGTTTGCTCACCGTCTAATCAACCCAGACCGTAACATGTGCCCTTGCCTGGAGACATGTGCCCTTGCCTGGAGACATGTGCCCTTGCCTGGAGACATGTGCCCTTGCCTGGAGACATGTGCCCTTGCCTGGAGACATGTGCCCTTGCTTGGAGACATGTGCCCTTGCTTGGAGACATGTGCCCTTGCTTGGAGACATGTGCCCTTGCTTCAGCGTTATCCACTTCACCCGTGCAATAATGTTTCGGCCCATCAGTGTACATTCACAATACAACGTCAATACATAGTGTGAAGGCAACGTGTTATAGTGCAAGATGTGTTAAATGCCGAAAGCTGCATAAGATGCTTGAAATGATTGGTTAGCTAATAATACATTGTATATATTTCGGTCAGGTAAGTAAAAACCCCACATTTTATGATGTTACATTTTCTCCTCATCACCTTTGCTTCATGATTCATTGGTATATTTATGGCCGACTGCAGCCACAGTGCATGTATGAAATGTGTTTCCATGGGTAAAAACTAAAGTTTGGTTCTGTTTTTTAGATCCACTCCTAAAGATTTCTATATGAATGACTTACAATGGACAGTGGTCCAGAATCTACTGACCCAACTGCCTACCACCTGTTCTGGTCTTAGAACATGCTGGGGCCAAAGACTCTACGCTCAATTTCTATGTCTATATTATATAAAACTGTTTATTGCTTGGCTGTGTAAATGCTGACTGGTTTGAAGCCCAGGTCTATCGTCGTCCTTTAGAAAACCTGATTGTGTTCTGGATAGGTCACTGTGACTGTTACACAGGGAGCCAAATTCAGGTCAAAAGATCAGTATGTAGAAAGAGGATCTGAGTGGAGGCATGTGAAACACCAGCAATAATTTTAATTGAGAGACTTCAGCCAGCCCAATTTAGATGTATCTCCACTAACTGGTTAGACTGACCACCACAGATCGTGCCATGCCAAATCTTATTTTACAGAATATCTGATCGTTCTGTGATCCGTGGGTGAAAACGTGATCAGATTTGGACTGCCTGTATAAACGCAGCAGAACTGCCCGCGTGGAAACACTGAAAGCCTGGGAACCAATGACGTACTGCTGTAGTCTGTTTATCTGTCTGGACTCCTCCTTGTTACTTAGATTATGTGATAACATCACTTAGTCCTATTCTTCATTGCAATAATGACTTTCTATGATTCATCTAACAGGAAATTGCATTTAGATTGCATTAATTGCATTAGTTGATATTTTGAACGACTGCAGGTTAAATAAAACTGATTTAGTAAGTCATGTGATATATGGGGTCGTGTTCGTTTAGAATCGGGGAACAAATTTGTCACGATACTTAGACATCCAACCTGCAGCTGCATTTGGGTCAATTCTGTCAAATAATTTGGAAAGGGCCAAATTCCACTAGAACCTTTCCACTAGTGACTATCCACTCATTTAAGAAGCTCCAGGTACGGCTCAGATCTCAGGAAGCGGCCAAAGGAGTCCCTCTCCATCAGTGCGTAAATTCTCTTCTGGGCCAGGTCAAAGGTTCCGGGAGACAGGTCAACAAGGTTTCTCAGGGTCACGTCCCTGGTGTAATGGTCAATGTTCACCTGGAGGGTAAGAGAAAGACAGAAAGGGAGATCAACCAGTCAGCCAGAGTGAAAACACTGCATATAAACGTGTTAGTGGCTGGGCATGTATAGTGGCAGGCTGTTATCTGGCAGGCTGTGCACTTGGGCATGTATAGTAGCAGGCTGTTATCTGGCAGGCTGTGTACTTGGGCATGTATAGTGGCAGGCTGTTATCTGGCAGGCTGTGTACTTGGGCATGTATAGTGGCAGGCTGTTATCTGGCAGGCTGTGTACTTGGGCATGTATATTGGCAGGCTGTTATCTGGCAGGCTGTGTACTTGGGCATGTATATTGGCAGGCTGTTATCTGGCAGGCTGTGTACTTGGGCATGTATATTGGCAGGCTGTTATCTGGCAGGCTGTGTACTTGGGCATGTATATTGGCAGGCTGTTATCTGGCAGGCTGTGCACTTGGGCATGTATATTGGCAGGCTGTTATCTGGCAGGCTGTGTACTTGGGCATGTATATTGGCAAGCTGTGTAATTTTT